TACGGCACAGAAACACTGACCAAACATGGAAAACACATAAACTAGGTTGACACTTTGACACCACATGCTTACTGGCACAAAAATATATATATTTTTAATTTTAGTATCAGTCTCCTTTGCCACTCATTTGAGCAATTGTCACAAACACCATACATGCATTTCCATGCAAAAAAACTTGAGCATTTGCTAGCTTGTTTAAGTGTGGCAAATGTTTAAAGGTGTAACAGAAAAATAATGACTGCTGAATGTAAATGATCCTTTATGTATCATGCATTTATCTATCTAACCCATCATTCTCAACAACCTGATCTCTTGGGTGAGTTTATAAAGGGACTATTTATAGATTCTAATCTAAGGATACATGGCTCAGATCCACTGTTTTGACTCCCATTTGAAGAGTCTCAGTGCTGAGGCAGGCAGGATTTTGACCCTGATACAGCTCAGTGAACAGAGAGGGAAGGAGGGGTCGCGATTCGAGTTGAGGCACGTGCCACCAAAGCAGGTCAACAGTCTTAATGAAACGAGAACACCAGGCTGCCAGACGCAACCAAATGAAAGAATGTGTATTTGTGTGTGTGTATGCATATGTGTGTGAGAGAGCAAAAGGCAAGGAGGGAAAGAGAGCTTCTCTTGTGCCAGTCACACAAAGTAAATGAGAATTTGTGGGTGCCGGGGGGCGTCTGTGAAAGCTCTAGTTTTTATTTCTCAGAAATAAAGGCCAGCTGTTTGCCCACAGAGATGTTCAGAGCTCCACCCAAAGACACAAATCACATTCAGTGTATCTCAAGAGCTGAAAGTAAAGAGCATTTCTGTGTTTTTCAAACAAAGAGAGAGAGACAGAGCCCTATTTAGCCCTCAGGGATGTGAGGTGTTTTGACAAGAGAAAAGTGTGATTTCAAATAGCCGTCTCTAGATAAATGGTACAAAGTGATTGCCAAAATATCATTTCACTGTCACTCACAGTCACAGCAATATATGTTCATGGTTGCTCTGGATAACTGCACTCATTAGTACAAGACACACACAATCTACAGGGCAGTACACAGGGTCACAGAGGGAAAGGCATTATGGGTAACCTCTAGTCCTCACTGTTTTATCCATCTTTTTTACCCTCAGGATAATGACCCAAATATACTATTCAAATACACAAAACACACAAAAACATTCATAGTCATAAAGCACTCACGCAATAACAAAGATATAAGCAAAGCTTTTACTAGTATTGATAGCAAACACCCGTCAATGTTGTCTAAGCCTCAGTTGTACTCATTAACAGGTCATGAATGCATATGAGTGTAGCAATATTAATGGCCAGCTGAACGTACAAAGTAATTATGTCATAAAAAAATTAATTTTCCTGAAAAAAAGAAAAGAAAATTATATGAAAACATATAAACATACAAATGAATGGCAGTGAAAAAAGACCATTTATTAAACCTACCTGGAAAACATGTTAGTAAATGGTTCCTTTCCCCCCCCCCCTAACATTCTAGAAACACTCTCTTTAGGTTCTATATTAGTAATCTGTACTAACATTCCAAGAATGTTGTAGGGAGGTTTGTGTGACAACCTAATAGGAACCTATACAGAATATTTGCTAATGGTTATTTTTAGGTTTTATTTATACTACAATGTAAAAGTCCGGGGTCATAAAGAGATTAAGTAAGAAATTAATAATTAAATAAAAAAAAAATACAGTAAAGACTTTTATATTTACATTTTCGAAGTCTAAATGTGAACAAGAGCTAATCACAAGCTTCAGTGGAGGGCAAGATTATGAAAAAATAAGTGACAGTAAAGACATTTAGAATGTTACTGTGACGAGTGGAGCGGGGCCGAGAGCTGTATCACTCGCGTCACCGGCCCACCCCACTTGTCACAGTTACAAAAGATTTCTATTCCAAATAAATGCTGTTCTATTGAACACACTTATTATAAGTAATGTTTCTTGAGCAGTAAATCGGGATATTAGAATGACTTCTGAAGGATCATGTGACACTGAAGACTGTATTTGCTGCTTTAAATTCAGCTTTGCCATCACAGGAATAAATTCGATTTTAAAAATATATTCAAATAGAAAACAGTTATTTCAAATTGTAATAATATTTCACAATATTAGTGTTTTTACTGTATTTTTGGTCAAATAAATTCAGCCTTGGTGAGCATAAGAGACTAATTTGAAAAAAACAACAAAAAAAACACTTTAAACAGTAATCTAAGCAAAAACAACTTGTTCCTAAATTCTTGGATTTCTTGTCTCAGAACCCTGAAATAATTAACTATCACCGCACAAAATGATGGCTGGGCATGCAAGATCGGTATGCAAGGAGATGTAGGGAGGAAAAATATAATTATTTCTGAAGATAAAAAATGTCAGAATATGTCAGAAAACAGGTCCCTGATCATTTCAGTCTGACCTTCACATTTTGTACAGCACATTTTGTCAAATTGCCTTGTGTCACAACATAATGCTTTATAAAGAAGCAGTTATTTAAAAGATGGGGCTAACAAATTATACTGAAAAATAAAAACCTTGACTAATATTATAAATGGACCTCAGGGGAAAAAAATAATAAAAATTCATGATATGATGCCTAAAAGATCAAGACAAAGAACAAGGAGAGACTAAGCTGAAAATAAGGAAGCAGGTTTTAGTTCTACTGCTGAGTGTGTTCACAAACAAGATATTCATTTTTGTTCCCAACACAACAATTAAGTATTCAGGTTTAATATTTTCAGAGAAGCACAAGAGGTTTTCAGAAGGAAGCATGTACGCTCTATTTTCAGCCAGTGACCTGAATAAAGAAGCAGTTATTTAAAAGATGGGGCTAACAAATTATACTGAAAAATAAAAACCTTGACTAATATTATAAATGGACCTCAGGGGAAAAAAATAATAAAAATTCATGATATGATGCCTAAAAGATCAAGACAAAGAACAAGGAGAGACTAAGCTGAAAATAAGGAAGCAGGTTTTAGTTCTACTGCTGAGTGTGTTCACAAACAAGATATTCATTTTTGTTCCCAACACAACAATTAAGTATTCAGGTTTAATATTTTCAGAGAAGCACAAGAGGTTTTCAGAAGGAAGCATGTACGCTCTATTTTCAGCCAGTGACCTGAATGGCTCTGTTTCTCTCTCTCTCTCTCTCTCTCTCTCTCTCTCGCTGCTGAGAAATCACTTCTCCGCTTATCTCCTCTACCATAGGGGAAGTAAAAGCTCTTCTCAGCCCCTGCCACTCCTCAGGTAAGAGGTTACAGCTTCAACAGGCAGCAAAAATATTCCATGAATGCTAAAGCAACGCAGTGTGAACGTCAGATGTTGTCCTCGGGGCCTTAAAGTGCTGGCTTCTGAATGTAGGTTCAAATGTACTGCTCACAAGACCTCCATTAGCTTTGAACATGCCCGATTTGGAAAACTAGAGTTTGCTGAAAAAGACAAAGACACCTAACAAGCACTCAAAGCCTGCTGATTGTGTTGGATTGTGTTGTGTGGGAAAGAAAGCCTTTTATCCCACAATGCCTCATCTCAAGCTCAGATAGACCCTTAAAGGAATTCACGCAAAAATGAACGTCTTTCCAAACCTGTATGACTTTTCTTCTGTGGAGGATATATTTTGAAGAACTGTTTTTGTCCATACAATGTTAGTGAGGTCCAAAACAACAATGACTTTCAACGTATGGACAAAAAAACACTTTTGGTAACAGAATTTTCATTTTGGGGTGAACTATTGTATAAACAGATGCGAGTGAATTTTTTTTACTATGCAAATGGGAACAGAAAGATTTTTTTAAATTTGTTCTCACCCTCTGCCTGTCCTCCTCGAACACGGCCTCATGCACGGTACAGGCAAACAGAGCTGTAGGTAGATCACTTAAGTCCATCATCTCCTCGGAGTCTTCCTCAATCTCTCTGAACGCCATCTCTTCTTCATCCTCCTCTTCGGGATCGCTGCTGTGACCCTCTGAGCTGTTGCTCCACAATTTCCAACCCTCACGCATCATTCCACTGCCCCACCAGAAGACAGCATTAGAACAAATGACACAATCCAGTCGACATCTTGAGGCAATCAAGGATATACTTTGAAAACAAACTAGTTTGCTTTAGGTAAAACACTTACAAAAGAGACAATGCCATAAAAACACCATAAAAGTATACCATGTGTGCTATTGTTCATGACATGAAACCGTGATCTGTGAGTGAGCCGGTCTCTGCAATACACTTGCAGCATTTACTAAAGATCTAACTAATAATCTGACAGGAAGGTGACTATTAATAACAATATGACAATGTGGCAATAAATTAAATATATACAAAAATATGACTATATTATTGTGTTTTTTTTAAACAATGTATTTTAAAAGAAGGCATAGGAGAATAATAACAAATAATATATAATCTAATAAAAAATATTACAGTATCATTCACTTGTTGATAGTGGAAAAGTCTGTTTTATGTATTTTACCTTTAAGCACACAAGTCATATGTGGGTCAAAGACATATTTTAAATGATTAAAAACTTCTGGCTGACAAATGGGTAAAACCTAGTGGTTTCAAGGATAGTGGCAAAGATAGGTAAAGATTAAAAATTACAGTTAATTTGTTTTCGGGGGCTGCACTGTGATCCTTAAATACAGTCTTTTTTTAATGCCATCTAATGATTCTTGTTCTAAATACGCCTGATAAGATTTTTTGGTATATGAACTATTGTTACACTGAATGACATTTAGTGGGTGTCTTCGGTAAATCATGGTAAAAATGTATGATAGTCATTATTATTTATTTTATTTATTTTTTGCTCAGAAAAGAAGAAGAAGAAGAAATTAAACTGGACACATTCTAATGTACGTAAAAAAATTAAAGCTGTGTCAAACTTTCATCGTTTTAATGCTTGAAAACCCCTTTACGTCTTTGACCCATGTACTACTCTTAATGTACTTTTATGTTGTTCGACATCTGGGCCCATATGTATAAAACTTCTCAGAAATGCTCTTAAGAATAGTCTTAAGCTTTGACTTAAGTGTCAAAAAATTCTTAGTAAAAAGTAGGACTTTTCTAAGAGTAGGAGACTTTTATAAAGACGCTAAAAGCAACTTTCAGTAAAGTCTAAGACTGATTCTTAAGTGTTGACTGAGGTGACACTTAAGTGTTGTGAACTAAGGACTACAATGATGTCAACACAAAATGGCCGACCTCGACCTCTGAATCAGCCAATAGTGAGCCTGCTCAAGTAAAGTCACAGCAGCACAACACCAATCATTTAATGTAACTACAAAAAAATCATTTAATTAAGACTGAAATATTTAAATTTAAATGTATTTTTAAATGCTTTGCATTGTGCAAAATTATCA